AGAAATGACAACCCACCCTGCCCAATGAAACCGGAATAGCGTGTACCAAATCGCGAACGAATAGGTGGGCATTTATGGTTCAGTACTGTCAATCCCATATCGGTTTCCCGATACTAATATATTCCAAATCCTAGACTGGTTGATATGAATTCTGAAAGTCTTCTAATATGCATGAGGAATTCTGCCAAGTTCGATTGCGGTCTGCAGCCACAATAGCGCATCAGTGGCACTAACGTAACCAAACTCTAGGTGACAGGAACACAACGTGTTTTGGACCATAAATTCAAAATACCATGCATCACATACTAGTATATGGCATTTCACTCTCTGAACTAAACTGCTCATATGATTGCTGAAAACCCTTCGACGGCCTACATCTGGTTTCCAACTTCTTAAGGCTCGTCTGGTGGATACAGTCCCCGAGTTTCCATCAAATTTACATTCTAATACGCTCGAAATTTTATGATGGTGAGCTGTCGAAGAGTTTTCAGCAACTTTATCAGTGGTTTGCCACGTTTAGAAAATGCGCTGACATGTCCAAAACATCGTGCCAACTGAAACATGAGGTAATCTGGAGCAGCACATTCAACTGGTCAAACTCGTTTAGTTTGACTGCTTGAGGTTAAACAAGACATGTTTTGGTGTGTACGGTACCCGTCGTTTAGACTTACCAATTGTCCGATGTGATACTATCGCTGATTTCTAATGACGTGGTGAAAAAAGCAAAAGACCAGGTGTACACCATCCACGTGTAAATTTTTGCCGAATAGTGTAGGACACAGTGACAGCACCGTCGTTGGGGGCTTGCAACAGAGGATCAAGTATAATCGGATAAGCGAAGTACACTTATTTGCAAACCAATTTGGTTTCGCTGGAGGCTCTGTTGGAGCCCTTTCTCGTTTATGGGTCTGCGCCAACTTGATGACCCCCAAGAAAGGCGGAAACGGTCGTGGGCTGTCGAGGAGTTTTCAGCAACCTTATGAGTAGTGTCTTATGTGAATTGGGTCTCTGTTCATCAGTAACGTGGATGCAAGAGATGCATGCGACCAACAGGGACTGATAAGGCTGCAGAAGTTATGGGCGTAATGTAGACTATACCGTCTGAGTTAATATCACCGTCAGGGGCACAGGTCAGTCCATAAGTGGCGCCAGTTGCTTAATATATTCCCCTATAAAACAGTTCCGTAGCGATCTCTGAAGGAAGGCGCTTCAGCTTAGACCGAGAAGAACCCCGAGGTTTCGAACGTTCCTGTCTAGGGTGGGCAAACTATAGTGGTACAAATCTCGTGCCTTCTTTGGGTTGCACGGCGGGTGTGCACCGAAAGTGTACCACTGCTCAATGATCGTTTTGTTAGTTATTTGTTGATCGAGGATAAAAAATAAGATTATCGTTCATCTTTAACACCCCTTCGCTGCCCAGCTGCCCACCCGAAGGAAGTACTAAGGCTGGAATACTGCCGGGTTGTCCAATCCTAGACAGGAGAAGTCGAGAGGCGGAGGTTGGGTTCGAACTATGAACCTTCCGGTCAGTGAATTCGCGGTCTGACCACTGATGAGGGAATCACTCACTCGTTTCCCATTAAGTAAATATAAATAAACATAAAGGAAACTGCTCACAAGGTTGCTGAAAACTCTTCGACAGCCAACGACCGGTTTGGCCCTTCTTGGGGCTCATCAGGTAGGCGCTGTTTTGTCCCCACAACCTCAATGAGGATCATGTTCTACTTGAACCCCAATTGGACTGTTCTTGAGAAATACACTCATTTGCAAACCAATTTGGTTTTCACGAGAGACTCTACTGAATCTTCTCGTTTATGATATTCTACAACTGAATGTGCTGCACACAGGCCGCCTGATGCTTCAGTTGGCACGATATTCGAAATATCGCAATATATTTCCATAAATGAAACTACTCACAAGGTTGCTGAAAACTCTTCGACAGCCAACGACCGGTTTGGCCCTTCTTGGGGCTCATCAGGTAGGCGCTGTTTTGTCCCCACAACCTCAATGAGGATTTCAGAATTAAAGGTCTTTCTGGAGACTGATTTAACTAACGGTGTAGTGTGTTCCGTCTAAATTTTGTCCCTTATAAAGGCCATATACCTCTCCTTTGGTGGATGCCTGTGTCTATGACAAATTCTCTTAGTGAGTTTACCACATCTTTGCAGTCGTTTTACTAGAGTTTTCTTTACCTGTCACTAACACCTCGGGTAGTGAATAGCTCTCAGGGTGTTCACTCACGGACGTCGAGTACACCTGCGAAATTGCTATGGAAATGCATACTATTCTAAGTAACCTGAACACTTTTGTTGCACAGTTCTGCGTGTTGGGATTCTCATCTGTAAAATGTTACTGCAAGATTCGGTAGGATCGAGCTCAAACCTCGCGAGTGCATGTAGACAGATCAACGTGGTAGATGAGCTTGTCTTTCTGGACAGCTGCATAAGTTCAGGTGGACTTGCGAAAGAGGAAATCAATTCCCAAATCGGTAAGACGGTGTTTTCCAACCTCCAGCGTCGACCTGATATCAGCTTGGCTGTCCAGGGTAGAGGGTACAATGCCACGCTCCGATCGTCGTACTTTATGAATCGAAGATATAGCCTCGCTTATGGAGAGCTTTGAAGACACTCTGTGTGTGCCTGCGAAGCGTTGAGCGGGTATGGTGGGAAAATGAGTCCAGTAACGTGGTACGCCAGATGAATATCGGAGAAGTTCATACTCCCTCTATGGATCAGCTGGTCACACTCCACAGTTTACACTGACTAACGCATGCACCTCATACGCCAGAGGATCACTTGCCTGGTAGAGGCCCTCCCGCAGTCTTGCGTTGCTTGGATGCGACCCAAGGGCAGTCAGCCCATAAACTGGCAACAAACCATGAAAGCCCTTACCAGTCAGTTCAGTCACTGCCTACTGCGATCCTCTCGATGGGGACCGCAAGATGAGACAAACCAACGGCTGGTGACCTTGACAGACATGGCTGCGTCACACAGCCAATTGCGCTTCGGGGCTGTGTAGATCACACTCTGCCAAACTTGACAAACAGAACCATTTGAGATCAATTAATTGATCTGGTTATAGCCCATGACGCGCGGCTCGAATTCCCGTTCAAGTTTTGTGTACTAGAAAAATGAATTGACTGAAATGACATGACAACAGTTAATTACACGTGGGAGATGCGACTCGCCGTCCAGGATGGGGACCTCGTGATCTCCAACTACGCCTGGTTGCAGATACTGTAGGATACAGCTACTAATCGATGTCAGTAGTGTCTTTCATTTTACATTGTATCCAGGTTGTATGAATAAGTGTCAGGGTGCGTATGAATCCCGGAATGAGTGTGGTGAGATAGTGCTAAATCCTTTGTCCGTCCACAATGGGGTCTTCTACTAAATCATGGCTGTAAAGCAGCGAAGCACCAGTACCTCTCCTGATGATGACTATTCCACTACAATGGAATCCAGCGCCGGTCCAGAAACTAGCAAACACCTACCTGAAACCCACCACAAACAAACAATTCACGAGTCACTACCTGCAGAAGCCGTCCAGCAATAATGATTTGTTCACAAAGGTGTTTTTTCCGACAGCTTGCACCTCACCGACATGAAGTGGGCGGTAATACACGGAACAGTAACAGCTGTCATCATGTGTTCGTGCGATTCACTGCGGACAACTTTCTGAAAAGTGCATACGTACGCTTCTCATAGATGCTCAGCAGGTTTCTTAACAGCTGCATTACCTTGATGCACAAAGAAGGGCGTACCTGTCTTCTGAAAACACTCACAAAACGGTACTTTAGCGAATTTTACGACAAAAATGCCGTTTGTTCGTACGTTTAGCTGTAGCACCCTTTCGGTGACTATAGAAGCACGAGAGCTGGAATACTGCCAAGTTGTCCAAACCTAGACAGGGGAAATAAAGAGGCAGAGGTCAAATTAGAACCGCCAGTAGTAGGGCAGTAAATTCGCGCTTCAACCACTAAGTCTTCTCGTTCACATACAAATGACCATCGTCAGCATCATCACCATCACCATCATCATCATCATCATCATCATCATCATCATCATCGTCGTCATCATCATCATCATCTTCATCATCTTCATCATCATCACCATCATCATCATCATCACGATCGTCGTCATCATCATCATCATCATCGTCATCATTATCATCATAATCATGATCATCATCATCACCATCATCCGAATCATCATCATCCGAATCATCCGAATCATCGTCATCATCATCATCATCGTCATCATCATCATCATCACCATGATGCTGAATGTTTAGAACCATATTTGTACATCGCCGACGTAACTGACCTATCCGTTTGTTTCAGGAAACTTTTCACAGATAGTCTGGAAAGACACTCGACGCGTTGGCTTTGGCCGAACCATTAAGGACGGCGGGTGCAAAATTTACATCGTTGCTTACTATACCCCATGTGGCAATGTGACCGGACACTTCACTGAAAACGTACCACCGCCGCTGAGTGGAGAGCTCTACATTCCAACTGATGCTGAAAAAGGATGGTAGACTGACTGAGACCCACTGTCCGTTGCATCGTCATTTACACTTCTTTTTTCATTTTATTTTGTGATCTGACTTTTAACCTCTTTTATGCTTTGTGTCACAAGTTTATTTTTTGTATAAATGACTTTAGTGGTGCGTTCATTTGCTGCCACCGATCACAGCAGTTTCCAAAAAAATATGAAAGCGACCCGTAAACAGGGCAAGTTACGGTTAATTAGTGGGTAAAGTATCACGTGGGTGGTGAATCCAATCGGGCTAACAAAACTGCAGGTTGCGAACTAAATTTGTTTATCATAACTGGTTCCAAGGCAACCCATGATTTAAACTTATCCACTGTGACTTAGCTCCTATGTAGTACAGGGTGTCTCATGATAGACGCAAAAAATAATACTTTAACATAAGTTCAAACATTTATCATTTTTTATGTGGACATACGTGCATTATGGAGGTATACTTTAAACAAACTAAACTAAAATATATTGAAACAAAGCGCCCCTTTCTTCTATAACAAGTTGGAGGCGGCATGAGATGTGAGACACAGTATGTTTAACTTCTTCAGGCGTCATTCGTGCACACTCCTCTTCAATTCTTGCTCTTAACTCCACCGAATCCTTCGGTTTATTTGCTTGATGTACGCGAGCCTTGATCATACCCCAAAACCAATAATTCAGAGGTGCGAGATCGGATGACCTTGCGGGCCAAAAGTTTGGAAATCTACAAGCAATGACTCTCTCATCAGAAAATTGCTCTCGGAGGTAAGTTCTCACTTGGTTTGTGTAGTGGGGTGGAGCGCTATCTTGTTGAGATGAAGGTGGCGTCTCACAATACAACGCACGCTGGCCAGGGGAATGCCAGTCAACTGAGACACCTGAGTTATTGACGAAGATGCCATGGTGCTCTGGGACTGAAGTTGCTCGACGGCATTCTGTACAATGGGCGCTCTTTCATCACTCAGAGACTTTTTCCCTTTGCCAGGAAAATCCAATACAGGTCCAATGGACTCAAATTCCGCAATCAACCGTGCAATGGTCGACACGGTGAAAGGATCTTTGATGAGACCATGTTTGGTTTTGTAACCACGAAGTGCAGAGGTGGCGCTTTCGCCAAGGGAATAATAGAGTTTCACAATTTTAGTGCGCCTACTGACATTCATCGTAAGAAAATTTTGAACACTTGCACACAAAACCTCATTTATGTGGCTGCATTTACTTACCCAATCAAATTTTGCGTTTATTATGAGGTCAAAATTTCCTCACTACATCAAGGTGGTTCTGAAACCAAGTATTCAATTCTGCAAGTGACGCTTCACTGTATAGATCCTCGGATAAAACTACACAGGAAGACAAATGAAATGAGCATAACGAGTCGAGAGAAAATACCGATATAGTTGGATGTTTTTGGACAAAAATCGATCTGGTTTCTGATTTATTTTCTTGTGTTAACCAGTCACTAATTAAAACTGATTAAGTAGTTGAGTATGCTGTTGTCCTTGTACACGAAAAGATGGACTTTCCTATGTATTCTCAACAGATGGTATTAGAAGAACGGTAACAGTTTCAGGAAAAAGTGACAGAAGCATTCTGGATGATGAACGCTCACATTTCTGGATTTTCTAGCTTCTCTGCACACCGCCTACGAAAACAAACGCTATCTGGAACTGTTACCTGACCGATATTTGGTTGCCTTTGCTGTTTTGTTATGTTGGGTGAAATTCCGCAACCATACCGCCTGACCACTCGTAGTTAGGCGCTGCTACGGCCGAGAAGCTATCCCGCAGAAGAGTGGCCAAAAGTTCGGGCCACTTGCCGGTCCGACATTAAGGCAAGCTCTGATTGGTCGAAAGTCTAGACCCAACGGCCAGTCATGACCGAGTATTGGCCGAATGCTGGTTGCCAATGCCACATCCAGGGGGCGTCAGAATTTCCAGAAGGTTGTCGCCAAATACATTTTATATACGGCGCTCTACAAGTGCTCTTGACCGGGGTTTTGGGAGTAATCATACGTTGTGCGTCTTTGGTGGTTGTCCTGACGGGAACGCTAGTTTGGGAGGTTCTGACCGAGAATTAAGCTGAAGGAAATACAATTACTACGAGTTATGACAGTGGTAATCGTGCTTGTTAAAGCAGACACCAGTCGTAGACTAATGCACACGCCTCCTGGTATGGACCAGTTGAAGTTATCTTGGTCGCGGCTTCCCTTCTTTTGACAAACATTTTTCTTAAAGGAAACTAATCACAAGGTTGCTGAAAACTCTTCAACAGCCCACGACCGGTTTGGCCCTTCCTGGGGCTCATCAGGTAGGCGCACGATGAGCTGTCGAAGAGTTTTCGGCAACCTTGTGAGTAGTTTACTTTATGAAAATATACTGCGATACCTCGAATATCGTTCCAACTGAATCATGAGGCGGCCTGTGTGCAGCACATTCAGTTGTAGAATACCATAAACGGGAGATTCTGTTGTCACTCGTGAAAACCAAATTGATTTGCAAATGAGTGTATTTCTGGAAAACATTTTTCTTGTCTCAAAATTTTCCAACCGTGGAATGTTCCTGCTAAAACCTCTCCAAAAGACTCTGATTACGACGTAACAGGCTTGGTCACAACCAAAAGGAAATTCCTTTTGTCGCCTTTACTTTCAAAGTAGATTTGGTCATAGGCCGTATGACCGGGCATCTACATCACACACTTTGGCTAACCCATCTGGTTTTCCTACATCCCAAAGACAACTTCCCTGGACACGCTCAAAACATGGTAGCCCCATCCGTCACTTTTTTGGATAAAAACTCATAAGCCGCAGTTTGCCGCAGACTTCAGAAAAATACGGAACATAACACGTTTAGGTAGAAAACGGGATCCAGGGGAACAATTGTTAGTAAAGCGGCCGCTCATTCGTGTGATTAACTCTCTCAGCATATTCTAAAAAGTGTCTGTCAACGAAAGTTCGTTCGATATCAGTTTTTAGCCACAGCGAGATAACTGAAGTTTGCTCAGAAAGCGTTCGTACGAGCACTGAGATTTCGATAGTCTGTTCACGTGATCTATGGCCACTCAGAACGATCGATCGCGATGTACACAGTTCTTGCGCGTTTACTCACAGGCTCTGCCCCACTTCAGTTTTACCATTAAATGTGTTCACTTTTGGGATCTTTTCCAGATAAGCCCCACCAAAAATTAACCCCGTCACCCAAAAAAGATTAGAAAAAAGGATATGAAATTTGTACTTATAGTTTCTATTGATGAGGGTGAAATAGGGACATGTCCGTTTTTCAGTACCTTTGCCTCCAAACGAACTCACACAAGTAGCTGTCCACTAAAGATCGGTGCGTGCCGTATTGGCGTTTATTCCGCATCTTGTAGACATGCCAAAGAGATTCGATGGTTTGTGTGTGAGCTGTAGTCGTTGGATCCACAAAGTCTTCGGTATGCTTAACCAGTTCAGTCAGTTAACAATCAACAGCAGTCTTGTGGCTAATAAATAATTCCACTGAACAGAATATGATTTCTGCCAAATTTTTGGACCAGCAGTAGCTAAATGGAATTACTGCCCTAAAATCTGTCCTGTATGAGTGAGATATAATTGGCCGCTCAAGGCCGACGGGTGAATTGTTCGAGCATTCGTCAGAAGATTGCGGGGTCGAAACTCCCTGAGTTTCGTGAGACGGGCACAGCTGATGACTCCTCAGAACGATGAAACAGTTACACAGTGCTTCTCCGCATTTCAGTATAAACTGCTTTCATTTGCACAGCAGCTGATTGGCCGTCACTCTCCAGTGCACGCTACGAGTCCAGAGCATACGGGAATGTATTTCGCGAGAAGTAGGAGCGTTTGGTCTATACTGTGGTGACTATAGTTGTCTCAAAGTAGGCTTGCAGTTAGGTCAAATGGGTGCCTTACTCTCTCACTTAGGCAAACCGGCGCCACCAGTCAATTTCTCGCTTGCAAGCCTCCTGAAACTCACCGCGCTTGAAGATCTACGACTGAAGCCTCCTTGATACTGTGTTCTCAAGTCTATAGATCTATGGCTTGCGAAGGACAATTCCGGAATCAGCTGACTAACCCATCAACAGAAACCATTCAAGGAAGGTTCTTCGCCTGTCTTCTTGTGAATGATGGAAACTGTTAAAAATTCTGATCAACTTTGAACAGACACTACTAACAAACTACACTGGACGGATTTTAAGAAACTTGTGAAAAATGCTCCATGCTATGAAAAGTAGGCCAGTTCTGCTATCGTCAAAGTACACAGAGCCATACAAAGCCAGCACTTGCAGAATCAATATGAATGTTTCTCTCATCATTTTGGGAGGATATCGGCAAAAAATTTCACCCAAGTTGTCAAGGAACAGTCTGGATACTGAAGGCCAGCATGTTGTAACCGACGAACTGGAGTACCAAGTAAACTGGCCTGTCTCAGCCCCTTTGGCTGCTATTACAGACTGGAGGCGTGGAGTTAATTCTTCCGGAAAGCGCTTCTTTCTTCCTGTGTTCTGGTTTATACAGGTCTTCATAGGTATCACGTGAAAAAAACTTTGTAGTTCCTCGACTTGACCAACAGGTGCGATGCTTCCGTCGGGCTGTTCTCAACTGGATGGGAAACGCGTATTAGACGAAACAACACAGTCGAGACAGAACACTCTACCCACGAGATTGATGAAAACTTCACGTCAGACTAGACTAGGTCGGGTTTTGCACACAGACACGCTGATTCGAAAAAAAATCGATCTGATCAGATAACCAATTGACTTCTGATGGCGGCATACCCCCAGTGATTGTGTGAATCCGGGCCGATGTCTCACACTGGTTTTCATGCGTT